AATAAAAAAAAAAAAATTTTTTAAAATAGTTTCTGTACAACCCTTAATGCATGGCAATCATTCAACTACAATCTGATGAAGAATAATAGATTTAAAAAAAAAATCAGTTTTATTGATTAAACAGGAATAGAAATAATAACAGGTTATATTTGGCGTATTAAAGGAAATTTCTATACAAATAACAGGAGAAATAACCCATGATACTTCTTTGACAAACAATATACAATATATCACAACTTGTCTTTAAAAGAAGCCAAATCTGAAACCTACTTTTAAAACAGATGTATAGGGCAATCCATAAGTGTTTCAGCATAATTAACTTCTTAAACTCGAGAGGACGCTGCCAGCATCTGGCCAAAAATCCCGATTTACCCATCGGACGGTGACAGCGTCCAATAACATTAATGTCTTTTGGCTGTAAACTAATCCAAACTATGTTATTATCCACCTTTTATAAATAAGCCAGAAATTTTATAAAGCATGGTGATAATCATTAGAACATCTTGGAAATAACTCCGGCAGAACGTGCAAAAAATTATGGGTCTGAAAGAGGTAAACTGATGCTCTGGAAATTATAGAAATTGTCCAAAACAAAATAAGCATTAACCCAAACCAAGTTATGCTACTTTACATCCATACATATGGTATAAATATATTTTTGTGAGTGTAGTAAGTTTGAAAAGGTATGCTTAGCATGTCGTGAGTCATTAAAGTTATTTAGCACTTGCATCTCCATTGATATTAGAACTGTTTCTCACCCATTTGCATTACATTAAAACTATACTCACTATATTTGCTGGTGTATAAGAAGACCCCCTGGATTTTTGAGCAAATTAAGTGTATTTCTTTGAGGTTCAGAGTAGAGGATGACCTCTATTGTCAAGCAAGTCTAGGATGTTACTTTTGTAAAGAAATTCTTAGAAATTATTTTTAAACTGTACTAACCTGTGCTCTGGAGTAATCAATACAACCACAAATGTGGTTTTTTATGCTCTTCAAATGCTACAGACAACTCAATGTAGTATCACTTAAATCACAAACATGTAACAAACAACTTTACAAAGTTTTTATCACAGTTGAACTCCACTTCTATTACAAAACACACAATGCTGAAATTTAAGAACATTACTGGCAGTGAGAAAACACTCCAATAATGTGTCATAATCCTTAAGAGACACGTTTCTGTTATTATCAGTAAATAATATATAACACTTTTATTTTTTTAGTTTTATGACTTACCTGGTGAAGTAAGTAGCTTAGCCTCTGATTTTTTGCCCTTGGGAGTCAGTCTTATTTTACTGTGATCCTGATTTATAAGAAAATTATTCCAAACTTATTTCTTGGTTTTTACCCAAAATTATAAATGTTTGATTGTAAAAATCAATAATACTTTTAACAAGACTATATCATTAATTAAACTTACCACAAGACATTAATATTACACCTATTATATTTTTAAACTCTTCATTCTTTATGCAATTCCTCAGGATTTTACAAGAAGAGTGTAAAATAGTATTTTAACCACACTATGTCCACCCTATCTATTGCTCCCAATACATTTCACTCAATATACAGCTCATCATACTAGCTAGGTTACAACAAACACAGTAGTGGTCCAAAGATTATTTGTATAAGCCATTTGTTAAAACAACTGTTTTGGTTTGAATGCCTTTCTAAACTGTTAAACATGATAATAATAATTAATTATTATATTTGTCATAAAACATTAGTATTAGGCCTATTATATTTGTCATAAAACATTAGTGTTAAACCTATTATATCTGTCATAAAACATTAGTGTTAGGTCTATTATAGTTGTCACAAAACATTAGTGTTAGGCCTATTATATCTGTCATAAAATATAAGTGTTAGGCCTATTATATCTGTCATAAAATATAAGTGTTAGGCCTATTATATTTTTAACACTTCATCCTTTATTCAGTCCTTTAGGCCTAATATTAATGTCTTATGATGAATGTAATTAATTACAATCATGCTTTACCAGTTTTGAAAGGCATTCACACTAAGTCACTAACAAACACTGTTTGTCATAACATAAGTCATGGGACAAATACCAACATGCTAAATTATTTATCACTGAACCAACCAAAGGTGTCATCCATAAATAATTTTGTCCAGGGAAGTTTGTGTTATAAAAATTAAAACCAGAAGATCAGCTAATAACTAAAAAGCACAATAAGGTTTCCTAAGAAACAGAAATTTCTAAGGTGAATTAATGAGAAAAGATTAATTAGCTGTTAATTCTGAATTAGTTTCATAAAGCAAATATACCTACTTTTTTAATGTGGTATTTCCTGTCATGCGAAAGTGCTTCTTTTTTGGTTTGCTGAAATACCAATATTCACAGAATATAGCATCTGGTACATTAAGAAGAAATTATGACAAATAACTCTTATTATACCATAATAATTATGAGTAAGAGTATTAATAAATTTTGCAAACAAATAAAGCCAAAAAAAAAGGTTTGTTTAAACCTTCATAGAAAAATATGAATACATAAAAATTTCTTCCACTTTATTAAATCAACTCTGACCAAGATTTAAAACTAAAGATCTTGCATTTTGTAGTTGATAAATTATTCATATTTATATTCAAAATTTAAAATTTTAATCACATATTGGTTTGTTTGATGTAGTTTAAAACAATTTCATTGCCACCTTTTTTTTTTTTTTTGTTGTTGCTGTTTTATTTTTATTTTTAACATTTTTCCTCACTTAGGCCCTTGATCTTAATATAATATTCGATGTTTTTAACATGCTTCCAAAAAATTTGGTTCCACCTAAAACTATCATTGTCAGTTACTTTTTGATTCTAAATTATAAATTCTTTATAGATCCGGGTTACGACAACAGTACCAGTGCGTAAATTTCGAAGTTAACAACAAAGTCACTGCTCAGATCCTGTATGGTGATGTGGTTTGTGAAACCGAAGGTACCAGCTGTGATTCCATCTTCTGTAGACAACATCTGTGTAGCAATAACATCAGCATTGTGGCGAATAAGGCACAGAAAGTAGTGAACGGCATCTTCTAAAGATTAAAAGAAAATAATTGTATTATCTTTATAAAACAATTGTATAGCAAACCTCCTAATGTGAAATAACTAGCTTTGTTATAGGATTCAGATTTTTAAGATAATATAGGACCTTCAAAGAAGTTATTTAGAACTTTTTAATGGCCTTTAACCAACTGGTCTTCTTGTATGAAAAAATATTAAGATTATTGCTGATAATTAAAAACAGGTACAAATTTCAAGAGAACTATTTGTCAATCTAATCACAGAATGATTTTCTTTCTCTTAACAAAAAACTCTGAAGTTAAAATGTCTATCTATAACCCAGATGACAAGAGTCACCAAATCAAAGTACTATTTAGGTTAGTATAAAATCTGTGACAAACGTACACCACAAAAAAAAATCTGAAGTTAAAATGTCTATCTATAAACCAGATGACACAAGAGTCACCAAATCAAAGTACTATTTAGGTTAGTATAAAATATGTGACAAACGTACACCACAAAATATAAGATGATTTCATGTAATTTCTTAATAATACTTCAGTTACGAACTCAGAAATTTTAAAAATAACAATGCTTTACCATTTTTTCCTTCCATTTGGGCAACAAGAAATTCTCGTTTTAATGGAAGTCTAATATCATTGATTATTAAGGTACCCCTTCCTTCTGAATCCAGCTTCCTACTTAAAGATCCTACAGTTTTCAACCTCTGGATTTCATTCACACATGCATGTCGCTTTTGGGCTAAAAGTTAGGAAAGGGGAAAGTGATTTGTTTTTACCATTCATTAATTAATTTTTTATATAATAGCAAATATTCCACTCCTTAACCTGTAAAATGGTAAATGTAATCTCATTTGTAGAAAAATTTCAATCGATTTTTAATAAGTTCTTTCCAGAAAAATATTTATCTCATTAAACAAATTAACACAAATATTAGATACTGACATATGTTAAACTTTAACCCATTCATTGCTGCTGGGACGTATATTTCCCAGTGTTTCCACCCATTCACACTGTGACTGGGAGAAATGTTTCCCATTGTCAATGTTGTTTACACCTTCCTGTGATGGGTATGAAAGTTCATCATCTTGACTATCATCACTACATGAAAAGCTAGCATCCTCTTGTCTCATTGCCTCTTCATCATCATGTATTTGAGCACCACTTTCCCTACATTCTAAACTGAGTCAAGTGCAACAAGCATATTTACATAGTAATTAGGGTTACTACTCGCAGCTCTAACAATGCAGGCATAGTTGGCACACAGTTGTCGTACATTTCACTTTGGCATCTCATTGGTTGTTGAAGGGCTGAATGGAATACATTGAGGGAAATCATATATCAACATTAGGTGGGATACCAATAAATACTTTCCACTTATTTTACTCCAATACGTAACACACGGCAATTTTGACCTACAATGGGAAACACCAGCAGTGTGAGAGGGTGGGAGCACTGGGAAATGTACGTCCCCGCCACAGTGAACGGGTTAATGAACTGTTTATCATTACAAAGTTTACCTTCCATATTACTTAAAACACAGTAAAAAATTTGTATGTGGCAAAATAATAAAAACAATGCAATATGATATCAAGTTGATTCTGCAGTGACCATACAGAAAAAATATTATACAATGATTATGTGACAAACATATTACACAACCTCACCTAGAGTAAAAAAAACTGCTAAAAATAATCAATGTAATTCTACCAACTATAGTAATTTAAAACTTTTATTTTTATAAATTACAATAATAAACACAATTCCAGACTTTAAAAGTCTTTTGACAGGTCATTATTAATCAGACTGTCCAGTTAGTAGGTTACATTACTTTGTTACATTTAGAAGATCAAACATTTATTATTCACTTATATATAACTTTGGCCAAAAAAAACCAAGGCCATGAAATCAAGTTAAAAAACAGGGACCCTGTTTAGATGTATGAATTAGAGCCAAAGAAAATATATATTTTTCTTAGCAAGAAGCAACATTAGAAAAAAAAGGTTTTTTTCTTCATTTTTTTCCCTCAAGAGATTGTTTTGCTTATAACTTTAGTAGATGGAGTTAGGACTAACCTCAGTCTCCGAAGCTGGTCAAAACTAGCAAGATTTAATTGAGTTCACAATCAACAATGAGGAAACGCAAATGATAAAACAATGCACTCTAGCCTTTATGTAAGACTACAAGAAGAACATATTTAATAGCCATATTGATTAACGTGTTTGTTAGTTTTGATCTTTATAGCTGAATCAGGAGTATTTAAAACGCACTTGCAATAAGAAGAAGTCGTTCCCCCTCGACTTGTTCCATTGATCCATGAAACTCGGTGGTGCTGTGACAGAGATTTAGAGCTTGACTGGCTTGACCCACAATTGTTTGCTGAGCATAAACTTCTTCCTGTAAAGCCTGAAAAACAATAAACTCAAGCTTAGAATTCAACATTTGTCAGATAAACTTAAGACACCTTAACATTTCTTTAAAAAATAATTTCAGCTTTAACCCTTTCAGTACTGCTGAGTTACATTTGTTTGTTCATGATGACTGGCAGAACACATTTATCCCATAAAAATATCTTAAACATGGTACTCCAGTTACTTTCATTGCATAATGTGCGTGAGTGTATATATTTATGTACCTTATTTTCATAAGTAGCTGCTGGAACATGCATAATGCAATAACAATGCCTGTTGGGAAGCTGCTGGAACATGCGTAACACAATAACAATGCCTGTTGGGAAGCTGCTGGAACATGCGTAACGCAACAACAATGCCTGTTGGGAAGCTGCTGGAACATGCATAATGCAACAACAATGCCTGTTGGGAAGCTGCTGGAACATGCGTAACGCAACAACAATGCCTGTTGGGACACATAAGTCCCATACACAAAGTTAAGAAACCATGAGAAAAACTCCCCAAAATGCACGCTTTTCCTTATGTATCCCACAAAATTCATACTGAAAGTCATTTCTTCAAGCAGTGAAACCTTTATAGGCTTAACAATAGTAAGTGAAATCAGGTTTGATTGCTGTTGTTTTTCCCTCATATTCCTTTTAGCCCTTTTTGAAATAACTTACCTCAATAACAAAGTAAAAACAAAGTAGATATATTTAAAAACAATAATCTTTCTCCATGCCTGTTCAGGTAGAAAGATGCTCTTTAAAAGTGATATATATATATTTATCTTAGGATTAACACGGCTTCTGGTTAAAAATCTTGGTGCTACTATAGCATACGGTCTACACAGATACTATCATCATCACCGTTTTAACTTAGTTTATTGCAATTAGCGCCATCTATTATAAATAACACTTTTAAATTAATAATGTACAAAATACCATTACATAACGTTTTGGGGGCAAACATAATCGGAATGAAATAAATTTCAACAATCCAAAACTAGCACAATTAAAACCTAAGTTTAAGGTACTCTTTTGGAACACACAACTTATTAAATTATTATTATTTGCTGAACAAAAACGTGGACAGATATAAATCATGTTTCAGTGAGCCATTAAAACGGTGATGATGATGATAGTATCTGTGTAGACCACATGATATACTGTAAAGATCTTTGTAGACCACATGCTATAGTAGCACTACGATCTCCCTCTAAGCTTTTATATACATGTCAGGAATTCTGTGAACTAAGGTTTATAATGACATCATAAAAAGAAATAAATACTGTAAATTTTGATTCCACATAACACGGAAATAATTCTAAACAATGGTACCTTAATTCTCTCTTGAACACTGACTGAAACATCGGCCTTTTCAGGAGTGGGAGGACTACAGACCTCTTCCCTCCTTACAACACTACGAATTGGTGTAGTCTTTATCTCCTGTTTAGCCTGTCTTCTGTAGAAGCTGATAGTGTGAAGCAATGGAACTTCATTTCCATTGTCATAGACTGAAGTTGGTACAGGTGACTGCACAGGTTTTTTTTGGGGGTGGCTGGGGAGTATAGGAAGAAGAATCCCCATTTTGATGGACTGAGACCTGAAAAACAAAATTATATTTTTCTCAGTGCTTTAACATACAACTTCCGTTTCATTTTTGATTACTGCGACAACAATCTTGTAATGTTAAAATTACACTAATTTCATATAATTTCTCTTGCTGTTGATCATGTATTCTCCTTGCTTTTTACTAGATCATTTCTGTAAAATTTATCTATATATATGTATATAAAGCACAAAAATCCGTGTGTGTGTCTATTTATCCCTCATGTAACTACTCCTAGGTCACTGGGCCAATCTAAACCAAACTTTGTGGGATGATAGTCTGGAACAAGGAGCATGTTCTGCAGCCAATGACTGTCAATTAATTAATAACATGAAACAGCGTGAAAGGAAATTAAGAAGTGGGTGTTGAAAGCATGTAACCGAAAGCACCCTTACCACCACTACTTTGGCCACTACCTCTTCATACAAAGTCACCCTGATTATCATACAGTGTAAACCATATATCAAGTATATACATGTGTTCTTAAAGCTAATGCAAAACATATACTGTGAACTACCTCTCTAGAATCTTGTTCTAATTCTGTTTCCTTACTGCACTCTGACTGGCCTATTCATCAGTTTTAAAAACACTTTGTGAAACAGACACTGCTAGTGTAATATGAGCAATAACAATAATGTCAAATTTACCTGTTTCTCAGACACATTTGTATCAAAAGTTCCAAATTCTTTTTCTTCTTTTTCCTTTTCATCTTCTTCATCCAGAGCCTCATCTAACAGTTCATCAATTTCAGCACAGACAGCTGCAGCTTCTCCAGTCAAGTCTGCTTCATCATCATCATCTTCTTCTTGGTTCATTTTTTCACAAGTGTTTTCTTCAGGTTCACGAAAATGACACGTACTTGTGGCAGGACCAGGAACATTTTCAGGCTCGCTTATTATGTCACTGGCCTCACTCTGTAAAAAAATATATGGTAATTATTCCTAGACAGCAAGCAAAGAACTGAAAGATTTAGTAATTTTGTGAAGAAAAAAAAAAAAAATTTATGGCTTACACTGTCACTAAAAAAAGAAAAACATTTTTATCACCTTTCTCAGACCAAAACTGACAGAAATCAAATATTTTTCCATACAAGGACTGTTGCAAAAAGAACAAAGAAATATTGTGAACATTTCATACTACAAATGTGACCAACCATAATCCAAGCAAACAGTTATTCATGCAAAGAGTAGCACAATGTTTGTTGACTTGTACTTTCTATTATCCAGGGAAGGCTTACTTTATTAGTGGGAACGTAAAACTTAATGTCATTAAATTTTTTTAATGTTCTATTGTAATATACAGGACACACACATCTTCCAAGTTTGTAAGGTTCTACTGTATTATACAGGACATGTTATGTCACATTTTTTAGTGGTCATTGCAGTAAGTTGATGTTGGCTGTCAGACAACCCCAGATGTATGTCCTGTATACTACAATAGAACATTAAAAATTTGACAGATGTATGTCCTGTATACTACAATAGAACATTAAAAATTTGACAGATTCAAGTCCTGTATACTACAATAGAACATTAAACATTTGACACATGCAAGTCCTGTATACTACAATAGAACATTAAAAATTTGACAGATGTATGTCCTGTATATTACAATAGAACGTTCAAAATTTGACAGATGTATGTCCTGTATATTACAATTGAACATTAAAAATTTGAGATGTATGTCCTGTATATTACAATTGAACATTACACATTAAATATTGCGTAATTACACATCACCTGTAACTATTATCTATTATCCAACTACAAGAACTTCAATGCTATAGTTTACATTAATAAGTCACCCAAATGAAAATGAGTATTCTCAACCAACCGACATCCTTATCTTCAAACATATAAACATACCTCTGAGCTATTTAAATCTTCTGCCTGAAAGACATCATCTGGAACATCATTCCCTACATCGGATGACTCACTTGGTAGAAATTGGGGTTTGTTGGTGTCAGTAAGCTAACGAAATATTAGGGAAAACAAATTATAAGTACAGCAAAATGTGTATAGGCAATTTTCATTAAAGTATAAAACACCACACTTAACTCTTTCATAATGAGGCCAGATTTTTTTAGTATAATGTGTCCTGACAATTTAAATGTGAAACATCATGAGCATTAAAATTTCAATGTTCATTCTGGATGATAATCACATTTCCACACCCATCATTACTGCTTGACCTACTACAGGAATGAACTCAACTAGTTTAATGTAATGTTATCATTCTTCCCTCCTTCATAATTGATTTCCTGTTAGTAGGTATCAAAATATATTTGATCAGACACAGGCAAACTACACACTTATTTGAGGTAAAAACATTTCAAACATCTGTGCTCAAGATCACAGTCTAACTTAAATTTTGTTAGTGTTTGTTTATCAATATATACAGTAATACATTAGATAACTTCTTCAGTATTAAACATAATTTAATAAAAACTTTAACTAAACTTAAAAACTCAATAATACGAAAAAAAATAGAAAACTATATAACAAAAAAAACACTACTTCTCTGAAAGTCAAAGACAATCTTTACCGTTAAAAGGAAACTGCAAGTAATAATACCACTCACAGTTTATACTTTTTGTGACATACATTTTATTTACTAATACATTAAATCTATTTGCACTATTTTTAGCTGCGACATAGCAGCTCTGAGTTTTTCAAATACAAACAGTTAGTTCGTAGCTCCATCATCTCTTGACCGATTTGAGATCAAATTACAGTCTTGGACTCAGGAGGTCAAACCCTTTCGATTGATGTATTTGACCACACCCAAGGTCTCGTAGATTAATTTACTGTAATCCTGCCTAAAAGAATTTCAATTTGAGGATAGGCTGGTAGAGATCCTGATAAGTAATAAAACCGAATCAGGTATATGCACACTCCTATAGATCAAATAGACATATGACATTTGGATACAGTAATAAATCAGCTCAGAAAACAAACTTATATACTTGATATGTAGCTGGTTACCTTATTAGGATTATCAACGTTTGTAGTCTCCGAACAAGTCGAGGAGGAGGAAGCCCTTTCCCAACGATTCATTAGAGCAGTCATTTCTCGCCTTCTCTCTTCTTTGGTTTTGGCAGAAATTTCATTTCCTCTCCAGTCATTCTGAGCTTTCTGCAAGAGTTGTTCTTGCACCTGTCTAGTGTTCATCCCCACATTCTTACCCGGTGAAGCAAGTGAACTTGCACTTGAGGTTGGAGATTCAACTAAGCTGGACTTGTCTGTTAAAAGTGAAGAATATCAAGAACATATTCATTATAATATCTAGATACGTACATACTAACAAGTAGGTCTGTAACTGAAAGTACCAAAAGATTTGATTGTATTTTACATATTGTACAAAAACCTTCAGTTTTGTTTTAATTGGGTTTTTAAACACATGCAATGAAAGAACAGAATATAACATACTTTCTTATTATGTAATAACTACATGTACAGCAGGGGAATTAAATAGCAAAGGTAACAACCATTTTTTACAGTTATATTCTCAATTCAATCAAACAACTTTATCATCAATGTATATCAATAAAATTGACACAGAAACATTGTTCGTAACTCAAAGTTTTATATTATCTAAGTTTTAATTTCTTAATTGCAAAACAAAATATAAAAAAGTTCTTAATCTTGACTTCCAGGTGTCACATGATGCATCTCCCCTCTGATTCTCTTATAGGGTTTTCAACCAATCATAAAATTAAACTATGGATATTAACACGTCAGAATGTAAAATGTAATCCTCCTTGTCTTGAATCAGTGAGATATAAATAAATTTGTGACACCCACCAATGAAATTCTCCCACCCTGGCTTTATAAACTTATCTATACTATCTAACCTTCTTTTATAGACATGTTTATAACTAATAGAAAGATAATTTTGTCCCCCGAAAAAATCTGCTAAAGACTTTTTCTTTACGGCAGACATTTGTAGACTGTTTGCCTCAAGTTATTTATGCGTAATTGTTAAGCTTTGGAATTTCCTTTTAACCTATTTGTAGTTTAGTTAGAAAGCCAATTAATTTATAGTAGTTTTAGGACATTCTATATTTTGTGCAGGATCATTTTTGTGTTCTATGTTTCAACATCACCACAAAAAAAGTAGGCCTAAAATGTTTCGCTAGACAACTGCAACAAGCTTGAGGACTAGACTTAAGTACTAGATTTTCTTGTTTTTTTATGGAGGTTTTTATTCATTGTTATAAAAGTAACTAAAATGTAAACATTAAAAACTTATTGAAAAAGATAATAAAATTTAAACAAAAACAAATTTATTGTGATATTAAATTTCACAGCACACTGTATACAGGAGGCATGTATATACTTCATTGATGTTGTGCTTGTAACTCGACCATTTGTTTATACAAACCTTTCCAGCTGTGATAAATGGCTGTTAACAGACTCTGAGAGGATCTATGTCCAGCCACAAAGTACTAAAATGAAATTAACCCAGTTTATTAGCTCTGGCTGTAAGAATAGTGTAATTGTCTGTTATAATATGCATGTGATTTTTAAAAAGAAAAAAAGAGGAAAATCTAGATTTATTTTGTATTTTTCAACTTTTCATTTTCTACCCTAGATTGCTGATTTCACTAAAGTTAGTATTAGAGTGGAGAAAACAACAAATAAAACACAGTTTAAGTGAAAAAAAAAAAAGAAATATATATATATATATATATACAAATTTCCCAGTTAGGTTCCTGGTTGCTG